TAAACTGTCTTCTTGGAGGCTTCAATCTATTAAATAACATTTAAACATAATTTCTGGGCTGTGTGCGGTGGCTCATGCCTGTAATCCTAGCACTTTGGGAAGCTGAGGTGGGTGGATCACCTGAGGCCAGGAGTTTGAGACCAGCCTGGCCACCATGGTGAAACCCTGTCTCTACTAAAAATACAAAAATTAGCCGGGTGTGGCAGTGGGCGCCTATAATCCCAGCTACTCGGAAGGCTGAGGCAGGAGAATCGCTTGAACCTGGGTGGGTGGAGGTTGCAGTGCGTCGAGATGATGCCATTTCACTCCAGCCTGGATGAAAGAGTGAAATTCTATCTCAAAAAATAAAAATAAAAAGTAAACATAATTTGTAGGAATTTTTAAATCCCGAAATTCTTTCCTGTGACACCCAAGCCACCTACCAACCTGTTCCTTAGGGTTTTTAAGCAATAAAGTCTTTTTTTGTTTCATAAGTTGGGTGACCTCAGTGCTCCCCATTTCTCCCTCACACACGTGCTCTTTGCGGAAACATGGGTATGTCCTACATCCACACCCACACGGCTGGCCTGTCCGTGCCCTGGGTCTAAAAGAAACCCCGGCATTTAAGGTTGTTTTCTTTTTCCTTTAAATCATTATCTTAATGTTGAATCCAAAGCCCAAACAAACATGATGCCAGGGCGAGGCACAGCAGGGCCATTGGAAGGGATTAGATTTCTTTAAATTACAAAAACAGTAAAAGCAGGAGGCCTTTAAAGTCAACATTTAATAATTTGAGTCATGCTCATGTTTTTGCTCCTTGGCTTAAAAAAACAATATTGCCAGAGTTGACTCCAAACCTCCTTAGCAATGCCTGTGACAGTTGAGAGAGGTGTGCAAACACCAAGTTGCATCTAATGAAGGGCCCCCTGCCCTTTGGATCCGGGCCAAGGCTGGAAGTTCTGAGACTCTTGAGAATAATGTTTATTCTCTTTGCTCACAGGAAAACAAAGAATAGTATGTTAAATGATATTTTTATTTAATAGTTTTTAAATGTTGTCTTAGTCCATTTGCATTGCTATAGTGGAATGCCTGAGGCTGGGTAATTCATAAAGGAAACAGATTTATTTGGCTGATGGTTCTGCAGGCTATGCGGGAAGCATGGTGTCAGCATCTGCTCAGCTTCTGGTGAAGTCCTCAGGAAGTTTCTACTCATGGTGGAAGGTGAAGCGGGAGCAAATAAGTCACATGACAAGAGAGGAGGAGGCCAAAGAGAGGGGAAGGAGGCAGCAGACTTCTCTTAACAACTAGATCTTGCAGGAGCGAAGAGTAAAAACTCACTCCATCTTGTGAGAATGGCATTAAACCGTCCCAAGGAATCCACCTCATGACCCAAACACCTCCCACCAGGCCCCATCTCCAGCAATGGGGATCACATGTCAACATGAGACTTGGAGGGGACAAACATTCAAGCTATATCAAAGATTCACTATTCTGAACAACAAAAAAATGAGGATAAGTGAACAGATCTGCCACCAACACTCTACCAGCAAAATTGTCTCTGAACTATTTAGTTCCAGGAGCAGCAACATCAGCATCACTCAGGAAGTTGTAAGAAATGCAGATTCTCAGGCCCCTGCCTGGACTTAGTGAATCAGAAACTCCAGGGGTGGAATCCAGAAACAGGTGCTTTATCAAGCCTTCCAGGTGGTTCTGAGGCAAGCCCGAGGCTGAGGACTGTTGGTCTCACACAATCCACTATGTGAAAGACCCGAGGTGTCTGCGTATAAGCCAACCATAAGGCACTGCTTCATTGCTTACTGATGAGACAGGTGAACCAATAGGATCTCAGAGAACCTGACCCATATTGCTAGCATTTTGTTTGTTTGTTTTTGTTTAATTGAGACAGTCTCGCTCTTGTTGCCCAGGCGGAGTGCCATGTGACGATCTTGGCTCACTGCAACCTCCGCCTCCTGGGTTCAAGCGATTCTCCTGCTTCAGCCTCCCAGGTAACTGGGATTACAGGCATGTGCCGCCATGCCCAACTAATTTTGTATTTTTAGTAGAGACAGGGTTTCATCATGTTGGTCAGACTGGTCTCGAACTCCTGACCTCAGGTGATCCACCCATCTCGGCCTCCCAAAGTGCTGGGATTACAAGTGTGAGCCACCTCCCCGGCCTACCATGTTTTTCATGCCAGGGGAAAGAGAATCATGTGGAGGTGAATACACTGTTTCGTTTTGTTGTTTTCAGCCAAGGCCCATTGGTGTAAAATATATAAAATCAACTGAGTGTCACAAAAAGGTAAAAAACAAACACACTTAGATGATCTTTTTTTTTCTTTGCAATAGGAAACGTAACATACTTAATTTTCTTTCTCTTTTCCAGTTAACTGTGAGAAACATAAGACAAAGCCAGGAAAGATAACTCAGTTTTCTATCATGGTTAATTAAAAGAGAGACAACAGATTTTCAAAGGTGCTGATTTTCTTGAAGGGCAAAGACTTTCATTCTATCTCTTTAGTATCCAGCCCACTCCTTAGTTTGAAATAGTTGTCCAATAAATATTCACTGAAATTATGGCAAAATGTAAATAAGAGCAAGGAAACAAGTAAAAAGAAAAAACATAGAAAAACAGCCCAGAGAGAAATATAAACATGAGATAAAGAAAAAAAAATGATAGAAACATATACAGAGAGAAAGAAGACAACAAGGGGAAAATAAATAAAAAAATGACAGAGGTAAAAAGCAAAGAGATGACACCTTGAGATGCAAAAGACTAAACTGATTTATAAATTATAGGGGCAAGGCTCATGATCTTCCAGTTCAATAATCTAGCTACTAAGGAATGCAGTATTTCCCTTTTAAAAAATTATTTATGAAAACCCTTGTCCCAAAATGCTGGCCAATGTCAAAGCCCAAGAAGTAGATTCTTAGGGACTCTCCCTACTGGGAGGAGCACGTTTTGTCAAATGGAGATACTGGATCTAATATGAGTTACTGTCCCAGGGTGATCAAACCAAGGAGGGTGACTAGCTATGAGAAATGGGGCAGATTCTCGTATGAAGAGAAGAAGGGAAGGGAGATTTTGGTTCTTTTAAAATATTCCACTTTGGGGAGAATATTTCTCAGAGTTTCAACTGCAGCTGTTTCACAGATATGTAAGCATGGGAAACATGGCTCAGTGGACCAAAGTCTGTGAATTCTCACCTTGAACCGCAATTCACTGCTAACCTCTCAGCCAGTCAGTATCCTATCTCATGCTTAGTTTTGTCTCTAAAATGGGAATAGACTCTAATATTGTAAGGTTCAGAATAACCAACAAAATTGGTCCTGAGAACTTAGAGATGCAAATAGTAATTACCTTTTAAAATTTGTGAATAGTGTTTTATAGCAGTAACCTAATAGTTCAAGAGTGATTGTAGGCAGAGTTGGCCTAAGGGAAAAATATGATCTGATATAAATGTTGACAGGAGACATCCAGTCACTCCAAAGGAGGGATATGGTTGTTCAAGAAAAGATCATCAGAGCCAGGCGTGGTGGCTCATGCCTGTAATCCCAGTACTTTTGGGAGGCCAAGGGGAGTGGATCACTGGGTCAAGAGATCGAGACCATTCTGGCCAACATGGTGAAACCCCGTCTCTACTGAAAATACAAAAAAAATTTAGCTGGGCATGGTGGTACGCTCCTGTAGTCCCAGCTACTTGGGAGGCTGAGGCAGGAGAATCACTTGAACCTGGGAGGCGGAGGTTGCAGTGAGCCAAGATCACGTTACTGCACTCCAGCCTGGCGACAGAGCGAGACTCCGTCTCAAAAAAACAAAAAAACAAAAAAAAAAAAGAGAGAGAAAGAAAAGATATCAGAAAGCACAAACTACCATAATACACAACAAGAGCCATGTCTTAAAAGTTGTAGGACTTCATCCGTTTCCAGGTAAGGGAAGTTTTTCCAGTTAACACTTTCCTTCAGTAAAGCACCAACCTTCTATGCAGCGTTACTGGAGGCTGGACATGCATTTTGCCAACTGGAAATCAACAAGAGAGTCCAATGAAGAAAAACAACCCACACTTCCATTCCGACCTTTCACACTAATCAAATGTCCTTATCTCTCTGTAGGCTGGAACTTCCAATAATGTGGATAACAACATATTTCGTCCACAAACAGAAAATAGAATCCATCTTATAGACAGTTCCATAGCTTCTTAAGCTTTTTTGAACTTGCCATTCTTTTGATATTTAATGGAAATCAATCACTAAACATCATACAGAGGAAACAAATTGAAGAGTTAAACTTTTTGCTCAAAGAAAAACATTGCAAAGAAAAGAGGGGTAACAGTGAGAAACAACATGGAAATATTTGTTGTCTACACATGTATGGAGATGCAAGTATATCCACATAGAGAAATATGCTATCGTTTAATCTCAGTGAAGAAACGTCTTTATCTTCCTTTTAAGAGTGGCAGATCTGAATTTCTGTGCATCTCATATTGGTCTCTTGGCGGCTTACTGTGTACATCTTCAAAGCCAAGAGTACTGGGGCAACGGGAAGACATTTTTCCTTGTGTAATATTATCCTAACAAGTGTGGCTATTATTGAATCAATTAAGCTTATAAGGATCATTTTTGAATCAACTTATCTAACTGTACAAATAATATCTAAGCTTCCATGTGAGTATTATTTTTTAATCAAAAAAATGTACTTACACCATTTTCTATTGATCAAATTGTTACACTATTTTTTAAAAATAAAAAGAAGAGGCAAGACTTTGATTATGTGATGGCTAAAATGTAATGATGACCTTGGGTGAAGCCTGGGAGACAGCACTTCCCTTGCTGACTTATGACAAATATTCAAAGGCATGGAATTCTGGGGCGAAGGGAAAGAGACTGTAGGTTTAGCCCATTAATAGAGTCCCTGTCTTGTCATTTAAAGCTCTTTCTTCGCTTGAAGAAAACACAAGGTTGATTTTACTAGGACCTATTATTAGGTTTCCAACATCACATGTCTCTTGCATTTGTGAACAGATTTTGGCAGAATGCAAAAGAGAGAGGAGGCAATCCAAATGTTAATTTCCTTGTACACGAGAAAAATAAAGTGGTAAGTATTCATATTTAATGGCAATAATTTTAAAAAGTGTTTATGCAACATATGCCTTTATGAAAATGTATTTCTGTTTTGTTTTTGTTTTTTTGAGGCAGAGTCTCGCTCTGTCTCCAGGCTGGAGTGCAATGGCACGATCTCAGCTCACTGCAACTTCCGATTCCCTGGTTCAGGCAATCCTCCTGCCTCAGCCTCCCGAGTAACTGGGATTACAGGCACGGGCCACCATGCACAGCTAATTTTTGTATTTTTAGTAGAGACGGGGTTTCACCATGTTGGCCAGGATGGTCTCTATCTCCTGACCTTGTGATCTGCATGCCTTGACCTCCCAAAGTGCTGGGATTACAGGCATGAGCCACCACACCCGGCCAACATATTTCTGTTTTTTGAGATCATATTCTTCTTTTGCCCCAAAAGACTGAAGAGAACTAACATTTATTGAGTACTTACTATAAGCTAAGCACTTTACAACATTATTTTCTTAATTTTCCACAACTGAGTTATGTGAATATTATTATTCTCATTTTCACATAAGGAAACTGAAGCCAAGAGAATAAAAACTTGGTCACTGTTATCAAAGAGCCGCTGGCTGAGTTGGGATTCCAATTAGTTGTGTGCAATTTAAAAACCATAGGACTTTCTATTTTATGTTGTTGCACCATTTTCAAACAATATTGATTTGGAGTTCTAAGATGTCTCCTCTCATTGTTGATTGTCAAAAAACCCAGTCATGCACTTTCTCAGATACATCTATCCATATATATCCCCAGTGTCATGGTCAAGTGTGTGAACTCTGGAGTGAAACTACCTGCATTCAAACACCAGCCCCGACTGGCTTCACACACTAGGCAAGGGACTTAACCACCCAGACTCATTTTCCCATTTGTAAAACAGTTATGATGATGATAGTGTACGTAGCTTAAAAATGGGGTCTAGAACATTTTAAACACTGTGCAAGTGTTAGCCACGACTGTTCTATCAATAAGGGTGGAACTTTTGGGTAATATTCATTCAGTGTATCTTGGCTGGAACAGTCTGGGCAATGAAAATTTAGTGGTAAGGAGGCCAAGATTTAAATTTACATAAACTTTTAGACTGGTTCCCTTTCTTTCTGCTCCATGCCTACAGATTCTCTAACTCCACTCAGCTATATTAATGAGTATCATGGGTCCAAAGGGATCCCTGAATTAGAACAATCGTATGCTCTCTACAAAAGACGTGACTTATTGAGGATCATAGAGTGGGTTAGTCATGCAATGGAATATGAGCCTTTTAGTGTTAGAATTAAATACACTGATTCTATGCCCCCATTCATAGCAGCATCATTCACAGTCTCCAAAAGGTGGAAGCACCCCACGTATCCATTGACAGGTAAATGCATAAACCACATGTGGTATATTTATACAATGGAATATTGTTCTGCCTTTAAAAGAAGGGAAATTCTGACGCATGCTACAACATGGATGTACCTTGAGAGCAAAATGCTCAGTGAAACAAGTCAGTCACAGAAGAACAAACACTGTATGATTCTGCTTACATGAGGTACCTAAAGTAGGCACATTTGTAGAGACAGAAAGTTGAATGGCAGTTGCCAGGGGCTGTGGAGAGTGGGAAATGGGAATTGCTTAACGGGGATTGAGTTTCAGTTTTGCCAGATGAAAGAGTTCTGGAATTGGTTGCACAACACTGTAAACATACTTAACACGACTGAAGTATACACTAAAAAAATGGTTAAGATGGTACATTTTATGTTACGTGTATTTCACCACAATTTAAAAATATTGTTTGAATACTGATTTCATTCAAACCAACTATGGCGGTCACAGTGGCCACCAATTAGCGGGAGGGTATTCTGTTGTTAGTGATCTGTGAGACCTGATGAAATTATCAATGCTTTTCCCTGTCAGCAGCCAATCTCAGTGATATGCTGCAGCTGTTGCCTGTATTCCCCAGTACGAGAAAGAGTCTGGGCCACCCACCTTTGGCCTTTGATTCTTTGCTAGGGGAGCCACACATAGGACCTTGAATTAAGGAGGATGTGTGGAGAAAATGCGTGTATGCCTCCCTGAGAAGGTCACCCTGCTGAGCCACTTTACGTATGGGAGAATGAGTGGCAGCGTTAAAACCTTCCATGTAGGTCAATAGTGTCAAATCTCATGGTTGTCAAACGGAACGTTTTTGTTTCTGATGACATCTTTGGCACTCTAGGAGATAGCCTAGGGTCTCTGTATTTGAATCTATGTTTTTTCATGGCTTATAAATGTCAAGTCTACAGTTTGGAACCTGGGCAATTTCCTCAAGCAGAAAATGCTTGCACTCTCTCATTAATTAGGACCTGTTTAGAGATCTATGATCAGTGGTTTCGATATGAGCCCTTTAGGTTAGAATTGCTGCCTATCAATTCTTTTAAAGTGTGTTTAAATTACACTAGTTTTTGTGAGTTGCAGATCTTTCATGTTTTCCAGGTGAGAGGGAGAAGGAGGGAGGAAAAACATTTCATGTTTCAACACAAATGAGTCTCCTTCAAGTCCAGTGTATTAATTAACAACTGGTTAACCTTAAAAATTGTAGTATAGTGCAAACAGGAATCTATTTATTTTCACTAATTAATTCATTTATTTAGACATTAGTATGAATTCTTTATTCTTCCCTCTCTGACTGCCTACACACTTCCACTCACACACACACACACATACAAGGAAATTTAATTTGTATTAAATTATCCATCATATATTACAAGGAAATTTAATTTGAAACAACCACAACTTACACCACTAAAAGAGTAGACACTTTATCTCTGATACCTTTGACACCTACTATTACAGGCTTATTTCAAGAACACAATTTTCAAATACATTGTAGTTGGCTCTACAAAAATCAAAATGCAAAATGACAGGTTTTTTTTTAAACCTCAAATGTCTCATGATTCAAACCCTCTTGAACAGTGTAGGCCACTCTGAAGATCAAGTGCCACCTGTTACGGGAAAGGGTACAAAAGACCTTTGACCTGTCTGCTGCTGGGGAGTTTTGGCCACATCTGGGATTTCCATCAGCACTCACCTTCTTCAGCCCATGAAGAGGCCATGGCAGGTGTTGGTTAAAGAGGGGAAGTTGCTTTCAAAAGACTGAGATGAAAGAACTACTGGAATCAAATAGTTTACTGTAAAGACTGATTTTTCTTTTGCACAGTCCTAAGAAATGACCTGTCCTTGGCCTTCCAAGATCTTGCTTCCAGAATATCAACCTGTCAGGACTGGAAAGAAGCAAAAGCAGGTGAGACCATCCGAGGCGATCAGAGGGTCTTGATGGCAAAAACAAAGTGACTCTATCCCTTTCCCAGACCCCAGACTCCCAGCTATGGTGGGACTAAGAATGCTGAATGCTGGTTCTCAGGCCAGTGAACCTAAGAAACTGAAGAGTGCGAAAAGTGCTCTTGGCAGGAACTATTTTAGTAGTGCTCAAAATACTTTTAATGAGAAGGGGAAGCAGGAACTTCAAATAAAGTTTCTCTTTTGCATTCCACCAAGAGCAGATGTTTGCTTTATTCAAAGAAAAGTTTCATAGGGGTGATTTCATGCATAGCTAAGAGCAGTAGTAGGGTTTTTTAGCTGTTAGAGCTGGGGTTGATTTACATAATCAGGGTATTACCGCTCCTGTGGCTTTCTACCTATATGCTATTAAACTCGTGTGTGTGTGTGTGTGTGTGTATATATATATGTGTTCATAACGCTGGAATCAAGTAAAAGATCCACCATTATTTCCTCATCATTCTTGGGAATATTTACAATATCAGGGCTGCTCTCTTATCTTGCAGTTGTAATAAAAGCAGCACTTTGTACAAAACATCTCATTTAATTATTATGACAATCCTATGAGATAGGAATTACTGTCCCCACTACATAGATGGGAAGACCGATGCTTAAAGAGGTTGAATACACATGCTGAGGTAGCATAAACAGGAGGTGGCAGAGTTGGGATCTGAGCTGAGGAAGTCCAGGGCTCTCAATTACACTCCCACAAGATAAAGAGCATACATTGTACAGGCTGCATGAAGTCATGAAGAAATCTTGGGTAACCATCTGCAAGCCCATTTACTGATTTTCCTCCCTTTAACAGGACTGACCCACAAGCCCACACAGTGTGACATCCGCTGTTCGCTACCACTTCACCCTGTGTCTCTCTACTTATGCTGATTTCCGTCCTTTCCAAGGTTAGCATTTGGCCTGCCTTCTCTCTATGGCCTCACTGGCCAACCCTGTCAGCAGTGTGCCCTGAATAATAGAATCAGGCATAAAGTCCTTGTCCATCTTTCCTAGTAGAAAGGGGATCCCTCCATGGACTTGTGGAGCTGCCCAGTTTATGTAACCATAGCTGACTGCCTAGTCTCTTCTTTCACCGGAGCTCCATGATACCATATCCTGTTGAAAATGACACAAGAAGGAAGAAAAAGTCCCTTTAGCTGGTAGTCATCAACGTTTCCTTTCCACCCCCTCCAGTATGTCTTCATTCTTTCTCTTTCAGCTCTTCAATCTACTGGATTTTTTAAGAGGCTGTGCTGTGTTACTATGTTCCAGATAGGTAGGTAGGTAGGTAGGTAGGTAGACAGATTAGATAGATGGATGGATAGATGAATAGATTAGATAGATAAATAGTAGATACATAGATGAATTGATTAAGTAGATGAATAGATAGGTAGGTGGATAGATGAATATATTAGATACATGATAGATAGATAGATAAGATAGATAGATAAATAGATTACATAAATAGACAAATAGAAGATAGATGAATGCATTACATAGCTAGATAGATAGGTGAATGGATGGATGGATGGATGGATGGATGGATGGATGGATGGATAGATGTAGATAATAGATGGATGGATAGGTGAGCAGATAGATAAATAGATAGATGCGTATTCTTGGCTTGGGTTACCCCAGAAGCAACCTGAAATAAGAATTCACATGCAAGTAAGAAACACTGGTAGGGGAATAGAGAAGTGAGAAATAGGCAAGGGAAGAAAGCCAACCAAAGGAGAATAATCAAGAAAGTTACCATTGAGGGCAAATGAAGCTTAATTCCACTGGGGGATTCTGAGAGACAGTGTAGAAATTGCTACTCAAAGTGGATCATCATCATCATCATCATCATCTGAAGCTCTACCACAAATCCACTGAATCAGGATGTGAATTTTTAACAGGATCCCCAAATGATAAACTTTGCAAAGTACCAAAGTAGAATATGCCTCAAAGTTAATCAGGTGAAGGAGTGAGAAAACTGTGTTATTACTAGCTTCTCCCTTGATACTGCATGTGAGCTGTTTCTGAAGTTAATTCCCCTGCACTCCTGGCTTAGCCTTTGTATGAGCAGGGCATTCATGCCCCAGTGGTCAGAAAGAAAGTCCCCAGACAGAAAATCAAAGGTATTAGCAGAAAGCAGCCCTCAACATGTGCAGCTATGACAAGTTCAGCTGTTAAATAGTTAGATCTAAATATGATACTAAAACTGAGGTTAAATTGTAATAATAATAACAGCCACAACTCTAATGCTGATTCAATGTTAAAGATACATTAAATAGATTGAAATAAGCAGGATTTCATTTAGGCATTTATTCTCAATAAAGCAGTTGATTTACCTAGTAGAAAAATAACCATTATCACAATTTACTTTAGGAGAATTCAAGTAAGATTGACATTATTTCTTACTCAGTAGTTATTTCAGGCCCTCTCAAGCAGGCCATAAGTGAGATCATGAAATACGTTCCCATATTTCATTGACTTATTCTAATTCCTAATATTAACCCTCAGGAGGGGTGGGGAGGCGCATCACTGAGGTTTTGCATTGCAAAGACAAACTGTGTACTACATTTATTAAAGAGTATGTTCAAGATCTGAAACTATAGTGGAAAAAAAAAAGACTTGACTCCTATTACAATGCTAAACACTGGTAAAGATATTTGGAGAATATCCAGAAAAATCAGTGACTTCTCCCAGACACAATATGCGCAATAAGGTAACTACACAGGAAAAGCAGTTTCCACAAAGATGTTAGCTCTGTTACCTGATACTTGTATTTTAAAGGAGTATCAGAGTACTTTATAGCACACAAAGAAAAAATCTATTTCTTCAAAAAAATTTAAGATGCATTCAAAAATTTCTAAATCAACTTGGAAAAGAATTAACAAAATAGGAACTTCTTAGAAACATTGAACTTAAGTTCCCAAGAAGATTTTCATGTTAAATAATAGGACTATAGAAAAGTGTAAATCCATCATTTTTAGGCATGACAGGATATATAAATTGATGAGCACGAATTATACTTTCACACTTGAACTTCATGAAATATAATTGAAAAGAAAAATAAATGAGCTATATATTTTCATAAATTTTTTGCTCGAAAACACCAAATGAATTCTAAAATATTCTTAATATTACAGAATAAAATTATTGCTCATTGATTAACCAAATACCAAAATTAAAAAACTTTTGCTCAGAAAATGAAAAGTTAATGCATACAGTATATTCTTAACATACCTAATTAATAAAATCCTACTGAATATAGTCTTTTTTATATACATACTTTAAGTTCTAGGGTACATGAGCACAATGTACAGGTTTCTTACATAGGTATACATGTGCCATGTTGGTTTGCTGTACCCAGTAACTCATAATTTACATTAGGTATTTCTCCTAATGCTATCCCTCCTCTTGCCCACCACCCCACGACAGGCCCCCAGGTGTGATGTTCCCCTCCCTGTGTCCAAATGTTCTCATTGTTCAGTTCCCATCTATGAGTGAGAACACGTGGTGTTTAGTTTTCTGTCCTTGTGACAGTTTGCTCAGAATGATGATTTCCAGCTGCATCCATGTCCTTGCAAAGGACATGAACTCATCCTCTTTCATTGCTGCATAGTATTCCATGGTGTATATGTGCCACATTTTCTTAATCCAGTCTGTCAGTGATGGACATTTGGGTTGGTTCCAAGTTTTTGTTATTGTGAATAGTGCCGCAATAAACATACATGTGCATGTGTCTTTATAGCAGCATGATTTATAATCCTTTGGGTATATACACAGTAATGGGATGGCTGGGTCAAATGGTATTTCTAGTTCTAGATCCTTGAGGAATTGTCACACTGTCTTCCACAATGGTTGAACTAGTTTACACTCCCACCAACAGTGTAAAAACTTTCCTGTTTTCCTACATCCTCTCCGGCATCTGTTGTTTCCTGACTTTTTAATGATTGCCATTCTAACTGGTGTGAGATGGTATCTCGTTGTGGTTTTGATTTGCATTTCTCTGATGATCAGTGATGTTGAGCATTTTTTCATGTGTCTGCTGGCTGCATAAATGTCTTCTTTTGAGAAGTGTCTGTTCATATCCTTTGCCCACTTTTTGATGGGGTCGTTTGTTTATTTCTTGTAAATTTGTTTAAGTTCTTTGTAGATTCTGGATATTAGCCCTTTGTCAGATGGGTAGATTGCAAAAATTTTCTCCCATTCTGTAGGTTGCCTGTTCACTCTGATGGTAATTTATTTTGCCATACAGAAGCTCTTTAGTTTAATTAGATCCCATTTGTCTATTTTGGCTTTTGTTGCCATTGCTTTTGGTGTTTTAGTCATGAAATCCTTGCCCATGCCTATGTCCTGAATGGTACTGCCTAAGTTTCTTGTAGGGTTTTTATGGTTTTAAGTCTAACATTTAAGACTTTAATCCATCTTGAATTAATTTTTGCATAAGGTGTAAAGAAGGGATCCAGTTTCAGTTTTCTACCTATGACTAACCAGTTTTCCTAGCACTATTTATTAAATAGGGAATCCTTTCCCCATTGCTTGTTTTTTTCAAGTTTGTCAAAGATCAGATGGTTGTAGATGTGTGGGGTTATTTCTGAGGCTTCTGTTCTGTTCCATTGGTCTATGTCTTTGTTTCAGTACCAGTACCATGCTGTTTTGGTTACTGTAGCCTTGTAGTATAGTTTGAAGTCAGGTAGCATGATGCCTCCAGCTTTGTCCTTTTTGCTTAGGATTATCTTGGCAATGCAGGCTCCTTTTTGGTTCCATATGAACTTTAAAGCGTTTTTTTCCAATTCTGTGAAGAAAGTCATTGGTAGCTTGATGGGGATGGCATTGAATCTATAAATTACCTTGGGCAATATGGTCATTTTCGTGATATTGATTCTTCCTATCCATGAGCATGGAATGTTCTTCCATTTGTTTGTGTCCTCCTTTATTTTGTTGAGCAGTGGTTTCTAGTTCTCCTTGAAGAGGTCATTCACATCCCCTGTAAGA